TTCTGCAAATTCGAAAAGCAAGTTCCAGAGGCTATTTGAGATTCGCATGCTCAGCGCCTCCTTCGCGTGACACATTGAGATCGTGCAGCCCTGGTAAAGGCCTGTTTTGCAGTGTCCAGACAAGACTTACAACTCCAACCGACAATTGACTTCTATTTTCATCGTTTGTGGTCTGAGGCGCAAGTGGGTCTCTAGCATTTTAACTGGCGCAATTCATTTCAATAACACTTAAACTTGACCAAATATATTGTTAGCTTGCATTCACATCCTGTTTCGTTTACCAGGCTAAAAACCGCGTGGATAGATTCGGCAGGTGGTGATTACACTGATGTCTCATCATCGAAGCCGTATTGACAACCAAGTTAATCCGCTCCGACTCTACAGCACCACAAGTTAAACAATTTCTTCAGTGCACTGATATTGGCATAGGTCTGACAATCCAAACTAAATGACAGTATGAAGAGATTTCGCACACATAACATTCTGATAAATGGTTTCAAAATGTCATTGACAGTGAATTTTTTCGTTTAGTTTAGTTCTCGCGAGGGAATTTTAAGCTGTTCAAGGTACTAATCAAGAAAAATAATAAAAGAGGTAGCTCATGCTGCTTTTAGTCACAAGAACTGTTCCTTCAGTCTTAAACTGGGATGTACATAACAACATATTAATCCCTGAAGTGGAAAGCAATGTTTTCAAGTATGGGCACTATGCATGAGACCGAAGTCAGTTAATTGAGCTAATGCATGCTGTGTAATAGCTTCTAATCAATTTTCTGTACTAAGTATTCGTCAGTAACTTTTATTATTTCGGCAACTTTTTCTGAATAGTCTGTCCTATTATCAGATTGACTGAATAGTGTTTGAGTTCCACACAGGTATGCTGCTTCTTGATTTATATATAATGTAAATTGAATGGGAAGGCAACTATGCAAATGTAATAGTCCTAAATTGTCAGTGGTTGCATTTGATTATTAAGGGATTCGTAGCAGAATGTGCTGTTCAACAGCTTACTTTTGGTACGAAGTGAATTACATTAAAGTTCCAAATTACTACGAATGCAGAATAATTATGCAATTGGGCTTGGGTGACGTTTTACAGTATTTGAAGTAATGTATATCGTGATTAATGGGATACCCTAAGTTCTACTTTAAGGAAAGTTGTGAGTGGATGTTTAGGAGCAGAAAAGTTATTATTAATAAATGACAGAGCTCTTTTACCAGTAATCTGCATGCAAATCTACGTCAGAGTTACATGCTTATTTTTTACTGGAGGTACATTCAGCTTATTAACTTACTAGAAAATTAAAACATACTAAATTACCAAGTACAGCATGCGGAGTTAACGCCAGTTAAATTGGCCTTGAACAAGACGGAATTTTACATCCACCTGTGTGACAATAAACAATGTAAGTTACATCTGATGACGGATATCCATTTATTCCTAATCAGCACTCATCTTGGTTGTGTATTTTTATGATGCAAGAAATTTTACGTAATTATTTACCTACAACTGCACTTATTTTTAAATATTTGGCATAATATATTCGAACTATTACAGCATTGCATTAACATGACATGAATAAAATTTGGGGTTTAATTATGTGGTAAACTACATAAATCAAGCTATAGAATTATGAAAATAACTAAGGCGTCCTTATTGCAATAATTCGTTGACTTAACTTACGGTAGCTCATAAGAGTACTAATTAAGGAGGTTTGAAAATTGTTAGCTAAGATGTGAGTTTAATTCTACAGTACATAATGTTCTCAGAAATGCCACAAAAAAAGCAATTTACTACATTATTAAGGATATGAATAAATTCGATGTAAGACAACTATGTTTGCCCAATTGAAATAAACTTCAACATTGATATCCAATTTTGTCTATGATCAGATATTCCATCACTTCAATTATAGCATTTGGGTACTATAATTATTACTAATCAAAGTTCAAACAAAGTTTTTTTAACTATCAAAATACTGCACTTTTATATTTTAAAAGCAATTTGTTTTTTAATGGACCATTTGGCAAATTACCCGCGTATGGCGGTTGCAATTTGCGAGCTTTCGTCTTCTGCTTGCTCGGTATTTTGCTTCTGAATACCAGATTGTATTAATTGAGAGTTATCAGACGACACTCAGTTTCGTTTGGATTTACTTTGGATTTTTGGAACATGGCAGATACTGTGGTAGAAAACGGTGTTTCTGTGGCACATGAAAAATTCATTGACAGCATAGGTTGAAATAAATTGTAATTATTAATTTGGCTGTAGATCCGGATGACCCAGAATATAGGCGCCAGCTGTTAAGGCCAGCTGAAATTAAAGAGGACTTAAATATGATGACGGAGCGTCGTCGGGTTTCTTTGATTTTGAGTTCTGAGTCATTTCGAAAAGAACTGGAGGAAATCATTGAGACGTACACTCGCTCGCAAGAGTCAACCGGGCTCAATTCCAGTCTCTTGTCCTTGCAGCACTTAGCAGACCTTTTTTCGACAATCCCTGGCAAGCGTCCCCCCACTGGTGGTGGCTTCACTAAATGTAGGTCCTGAGCCTCTCGCTTCGATGTTTTTGTATGAATGTTACGTTCCATAGGAACTTTTCTCTTATTATTTTTGGGTCTGTTCCCACAGCATTTGTTAATCTTTTCTGTACCTATCGGTTCTGTATTTCTCAGGGTTTGCTCTAATCTGGTTGGGGTGACTTCACTTTCTATTGTTTGTTTGTTAGGTCATCAAAATGGGATCATTCCTATTAATGATCTCCGTGGTTCAGATTCTGGTCTTTACTCACGAAGAGAGCGTATCTATCGCTGTAAGCTGGCTTCTGTGTACCGCCTTATCGAACTATTTGGCTGGAACGCGAGTATTTACAACCACGCCACTGTCCGGCTAAGTCGAAATGAAGAACACTTTCTTATAAATCCGTTTGGATTGCTCTACCACGAAGTGACAGCGTCATCCTTAATCAAAATTGACAGTCAGGGTGTGGTCTTAGATCCAGGATCAACCGTACTCGGGGTTCACCAGGCTGGATGGCTGTTTCACTCTGCCGTCCACTTAACCCGCCCTGATATTCGTTGCATAATTCATCTGGGCACGCCTGCTACCATTGCTGTAAGTTACATTGTAAAGTTTTAGTTTCGGACTTATTATCCAAGCTGTTAAATCCTAGTTTACTACATGTAAATTCTTCATTTATCAAGAAACTGTTATTGTCTTTGAGATATGCCCTGTCTAAAACTAAATTTATTGGTGTAACCTGCATCAGATGAGTAGAAACCTTACTTGGCTTCGTACAGGTATCGTGCATAAAGACGGGCCTGCTCCCGTTATCACAAGAGGCAATTATTCTTGGCGAAGTGGCGTATTACACTCCGGTGCGGACAGGGAACGCCGATTCCGCTGGTGACGCCACAGATGCTGAAGCTACCGATGGTGGAGCCGGTTCTTTCTCCCTCGCTGCTGCTGATCTAAGCGCTGAGAGGGCTGCGGTGAGCAAGGTGATTGGTCAGGACACTCACATTCTCTTCGTTCGTTGTCGTGGTCTCCTTGCTCTTGGTGAGACTGTTGAGGAAGCTTGGCATTATGCCACTAACGCTGTGGTAGCTTGTGAAACTCAGGTAAGACCATTCACTAAATTATCACTGTAAATTGATTTAACATATGCAAGCGCGCACTGGCTTAACACAACTTTCAATAACCTTAATCCGAATTTTAATCCCCCGAAATATTCAACGGTAAGTTGGTAAACTTTAAACCTTGACATGTAGCTTTTAAATTACGAACGCTCTCAACTTGGAACTCTCTTTGATCACTACCTTGAATTAAACCGTACTAGATAGTTATCTGTTACGTTCTCGCCTGGACTTTGATTCTTACTGATCGTAATTCTTTGAACGTGGTTACTGGGCAGCGCAATAATATACACATTGTGATCGCTAAATTTACAATGCAACCGATCACGTACTGAGGAATGTTGTGTGCTATTGATGCAGCACATTAGGTCAACCCACTTGTCCCCACTGAATGGCCGGTTTCCCTTTCTATGTATTTGATTTTATCTTCCTAGCTACGACTGGCCTCCCTGGGAATTGATCATTTAGTGCTGCCCGACCAGCAGGTACAGAAGAAGGCCTACGAGGCCTGGCGCACAACAGAGTTGGGTGGAGTCTCGGGCCCGGAGGCAGCTGTGGCCATCCGGTTAGCCCACGCGCGCACTCTTTCATTGTCCCGAAAAAACAACGGCATTGATGCCGGCTACCTCTCCGATTGTTCGGTGGCGGCTCACGCTACAAACCCGGCTCGTCCCTGGCGTCTTGGCGAATTGGAATTTGAGGCTCTGATGCGTCATCTTGACAACGATGGCTATAGAACCGGTCATATTTATCGCCAGGTGGGTGGCGCTAATTTCACAACAATGTATCCAACGGGCTAATACCTTTATCCCACTTGGTTATGCTCAACTTTCAAAACAAAATTGTATCCATTAGTGGATAACTTTTTCTAATTTCATCGCACATACTTGATTGTTTTGTATTTTTCACTCACCATTGGTTCTAAGTGTCCTTAGTGTATAAGGTGTTTTCTAAAGCAATGCTTTAAGTTAACTGCTACTCTTTTTCAGGAACGTCTAGCGTTAGTAGCCTGGGTGCCTTGAGAGCAATGTTATAACCCATTTGTATGCTAATCACCTAACGTGAGGCCAGTTATTGATTTACTAGGGCTGCTATTAGCATGTCCTTACTGCCCACATTAATAAATGTCAAGTGTCAGAATTGTGGTACTTTCTTGTTGTAATTTGGTGGCTTTCTGACCTAACAATTTGTGATAAAGCACTGTTTCATCAAAATTATTTTCTTGTCAGCACCGTTTCCCAAATGAGTCACCCCAATATCAAGGCAAGGATTAAACTTTGGGAAAATGATTTGCAGTGCTAACTTATCCAAATGAAACTACTGTTCTTTAGAAATGTTGTCCGCAGTTTTTTTTCCATATTATAAATCTGGCCTGCACAAGTTGGCATACTTCTTTTTTGTGCTATTAATTCGTTATTATGGAAAGGCAGCTTCCCAGCATGGCTTAACTTTGACTTTTATATTCCATGTAAGCCACTGTATGGGCCACAAAATTTTCCTCTTTGTTGAGGTACAAGTGGTGTGTGAAATGTTGCCTTTGTTGTAGGCCAATATCGTCATTTGTGGCCCCGATTAGGTCTCCCTCGATGCGTAGCGCAGGTGCAATGAAGCTTGATTTGGAGTTCTCATTTTGCAGGACCATCTTAAATTCACACATTAGCGTTAAACATTGACATTGACATTCTGGCCACTCTAGATTCAGTTTTTTCTGGTTGGTGCACAGATATTCTGGCTCTCGGTTATTGGTCGCTGACCCAACATTGATTTTGCCTGTGTTCGACTTTATACCCGCGTTGTGTGCTTGCATACGCGTGTGTGTGCTTGCGCGATCGCTGGCTTTCACCACTAACTTGTTCATGTTTATACGGTCACTAAAGTCGCTTATAACGAGCACTGTGTTAGTTTTGTGGCAGCATTGTCTTATGTTCAGTGGTTCAGTAGCAGGTCTGGCCTGAAACGGAGGCAACACCGTAACTAGGGCGCTCAACAGGTGTGGGTGGCACTAGTGTTACTTTTTGTTCCTGGAACGAGATACGTGTGCGGCGGTTGTCGTAGGCTTCCGTACCCGGTTGTCGCGTCTGACCCGAATGTATGACTGGTAGCACGTTTGTTCTTGTGATCAAACCACGCACGTTTTTAATCGCCGCCACTCTCCATTTGTTTCATTTTGGTTCAATCTGTTATAAATTTTAACCACCTGAAAATGTATGGATATTTATGGATGACGACTTGAGGGAATGCTGTTCATTATCAGTTTTGGTTCAGTTGCAATCGGTGCATCTGCATCGCTAGATTGGATTTTCAGTCTATCATCATTGACTTATCACTTTGAGGATGTTTTAAGCAGGAATTAGGTTACCATATCCCGGTCATATTTACCGCCTTGTCGAAACTGGTTTTAGGATGCCGCTGTCAGTCCCCGACCGTCCCGGAGAACTCTGGACCGATCCGGTGCCTTAGCCGGAAATAAGCGCTTTGACGATGTCGAAGTACCGCCCTTCACTTCTTCGGCTGCCGCCACCATTGCCCACTACTACGATGATACTGGCGCTTTTTCAGGAGACGAGTCGGAAGGTCCAAGACCAGGGTACGTCTATTCACGACTCAAAGACACCAGGTCTATTTTAAACCGGGAATACTTAGTAGAATGACGTTCGGATCTGGCTAAAGACTTATCATACGACGTCAGTATGTATTTTTAGTTTAAGTTTATTGAATATACTTATGTTTTTCTTAATAGTGATTGTCATTTTATCTTGTCATTTATTATTAGCACTCTTCGACGTCAGTGGTCAGACCGGCGATGGCTCAATACACCAAATAACTACACCAAGGAAATCTCAACTCTGCCGGGTCGTCAGCCAGTTGCTCACTGGGTCTCAAGTCGTGAGGCCACACTGCATATGGAGATCTCTAGTGGCCGGCTGCCTCCTCCCACTCCATTCCATCCCCTCACCCCCGCCGCCATCCCTCTTGGCACCATTGGAGCTCAAAGCAGCACTCCTTCTAGTGGCATAACCTTTAATCGGTTTGCGCCACAGGGCAACGATCCCAAAGAGCTGAAAGAACATCAAAAGAAGGTGAGTACACATGTACACTTTCCGTTGCCAGGATTCTGGACCTCGTGTGTGTCAAAACGCTGTTCGCATGTATCGTGGTTATTGTTTTGTGGTTACGCACAGGTCCAGCAACATTTATTGTGCATATTCATCTTTTCCCTGGCACATCGCCATATGTGTGTGCTCTCGGGTAATTCTTCTCTCGTACCAATCTAGCGTAGCCTTTCTAGTTCGCAATGTCAAATGAGTTCTTAGTTTTGCATAGTTTTTGGAGTTCTTTCTAAAGGCCACTTCAACAACCTCAAGGTATGTCGTGCACATCCTTGCAGTTTACTTTATGATGTTGGGTAGCTTTGGGTGGTTCACATTGTTTACTTTGGTATGTTGGGTTTGACAATGAATCAGTTGGTTGGAACCGCGCGATTCAGTTTTCCGAACTTTTAATCGACTTTCGGGTAGTCTTGGTTTAAGTTAATTTTCACCTTCTCACAACCCAGCACACATCACGCGTCCCCTAAGTGTAACAATATCAAAACACGATAAATTTGAGCTAGCAAAGCTGCGTGGACCCCGTCCTAGTCTGTGCGTGGCTTTACTGCGTGGCGAGATATTGCGAGAAATGTCTCAGCCTCCTTAATGTGAGACAACATGTCTTGGCATGGCCCACATTGCCGGTCCACGTGCCAGTGTCTTCCTTTTATTCCCGACGAGTACCGTCGAGTAACATCGACGTATTTAACCTTTTTAAACTACCGTCGTTGTCAGCACTTGGAGGTAGGACTCAATGCCTTGATAAGTACCTAACAATTAAATCATGGTTTATATGTACCCCTGGGTTACGCTTAGGTATTGTGCATTCAAACCGACTTTGGTAATTTGCATATGCGAGTGCGTTATTCGTGGACGCAGTCGTTTCACATCAAATCAATGTTCACCGGTGTTCATTAATAATAGTTGCTTGTAGCTTCACATCTGCATTCACTGCACTGACTGTGCGCATCCGCGTCGGCCAGTTAGCGCACGCACACGCGCTCACTCGCGTGCCAATCCGAGCCCACCACACGCAGGTTTGCGTGCATCCTCCCACCAACATTTCGTTGGGTGAACCCTGAATGAGAATATTTCGCCACCGCTACGGTGGTAACTCAATAGACTCAGGCAACATGTTTAATGTCTACGCTCGCACGTGCTGTAGTAGTTATTTGTGGTTTGTGATTTGCGTGGTATTTTTCTTTTGGATGTAGCTGTTTTAGAATCGGAGCTTTCGCCGATTCACGTGGTGTGATTTCTTTTTTAAGCACCCCTAGGTACCATTTTACAGTAACTTATAAGCCACCATGATATCTCTGGTCGTACATTAAGTAGAAACCGCGTTAACGTTTAGTTATGCATGTAGAAATGGCTTGCTCAACGATTTGTATGGACAAATTTAAGGAACTGGATTCTTAAACACTAAGCATCTTGAACGTGTAGGTCAAGGAGAAGTACTATAAAGATACGAACACAGCTGGACCGCAGTCGCGACTCCTGGATGGGCTGACGTGGGACGAAGCGCGACGCATCCGTGACGAAGCCCTAACCAAGGCACTTGGTCCCGGTGCGGTCTCAGCATCCCTTCCAGACTCGCATTCCACGGTGGCCGCAGCCAGCAAAGCCATCCTTCAGCGCGATGTCCGTGATGCCGCCGTCGTTTATGAGGTTGGTGATTTGCCTTCCTTTTAGGCTTAGCAAGACGAATTAAACCATTTCTTGGGACCTTCGGTATGGGTGTCGGTTCTGTTCAATGAGATTCGTTTCAAAACAGGCACCCAGAGTGTTGTTTTCGATTCAGCCATCAGCTTGAAACAAAGTGTGCTATTAATGTTTCGTTTTTATGGGAATATCATATTTCGACTTCCACTGTCATTGGAACTTCGTGTCTCCATCTTTAACTAGCGTCATATCTAAGTATACGCCTTTTTCCCTTCCTCACGAAAACGAGATGTTGTCAGTGTCCACCTCCGGATTGCTGACCACGACGTTGTACCGCATCGTCAACTTTAAGGTCTCCTTACAAGTGTTACATTAGGCGCCCTTGCTCTTTTTCAATTGTTGATAAATCGCTCATCTGATTTTAGTTTAGATCTACGCCTGGAAACCATGGTTGCAGTCGCGCATGCACAACTAGTTCTAGCTAAAACCTGAGTTCAAATTTGCTGTATTGCTAACCAGTTTATTCGCACTTATGCGGCGATGCCGCCCTACTGTTGTAAACTTGGGCGCGTGCGCGAGTTTATGCGTGCTCTGTTAATGCTTGCGTTCTGCCTCCGCAGGGTGTTTACACGAAGCAAAATCCGTTCGGTCAGGTGACAGACGAGGAGTTAGAGGCCTACAAACAGGAAATCGAACTGAAGACCAACCCAAAACTCTATGCCGAGTGGCTTCGACAGCAGGAGGCCGCCGCAGCAGCTGATCATGTGAAGAGCACTCCGGATACAACCGGCGGTAAGCTGTCTTTGAGTGTCCCTTCTTAATGACTACTCTGCTGGTGCTTTCTGCCGCACGAGCTGCAAGTTTATAATTTGTGTTTTTTCACCTGCTATATTCGCTGTTTAGTTTTACTCAATGCCTGCTCATTGTGCAAACTGTCGCTGTGAAATTGGCGATTTTATCTTCCTGCCTCTTCGAAACGCATTGCCGAATGCTTTGTATTTTTGGGATAATTGACACTTCATCTTATTCAAATTGATTGGCCCTTTGATGAAGTAAAATTGTAAATGCTTTTATTTAAGGGTATTTTGTATATAACGTCTTCGAAGATCAAAGGTGCCAACTATTGCTCGGTAATTAGTCGTGCAAACTGCTCTACGTGTAATTAATTCAACTCACACAATGACTGAACCATTAAAAATATGAATAATGCTTGCATTATTATTATTATTATTCTAAAGCCATTATTATGTAAATGTTTCGGTGGTTGGTTATTTTAACCCAGTAACGTATTCGAACAACGTAAAAATATGGTGTTTTGACGGGGTGGTCATTCATTAATCAAACTACTTCCTAATTATTTTCGGTTATGGTGAAGGCGCAAATCTTTGTATTCTTCTCCTAAAATGGAATTTCTAGCTCCTGTGATGTGTAAAGCTCTAATGGTAATGCAAGCACACAATGCCCCAAAACAGCTGTTGTGTTTTTTTCTACTGATTTTTTCCATCGAAGACACTTTCTCCGTCCGCAATTATTTAACCGACGCCACAGTTCAAGGTTTCCGGAACCCGTGCAAGGTCACAATATGCCAATCCGTTCTCTGATAATTGCATAAGACACCCCTGATTTAAAAAAAGAGGCGTGTGTGTCTTGCTTGTCAATCCCATATTCCTAAATGTACTTTCAATTACATTTTCGGTAAAAATTTGCCCAAAGTGGCTTTCCTCCATTTTCAAGGCATCACGATTTCCATTAGTCCTTGCCTATCTTGCCTTATTGCGATTCGTTAGATATTGTAAACTAGCCATTTTGTTAAAAATTGCAAATGGCTGCTGGTGGAATCATTATCTATGCGGTCAAACCGGCATCAGGTGAATTTATGAGAAGCTACTTATGTCAACTGCGTGTACTTGGTGGATAGTATTCTAAGGTAACAATGACAGATCAGGTGCAAGCCCTGCTGTACCACTAAAGTGGCAGTTATAGCTTGATCAGCAAGAAAGTGCCAGAGTGTGCAAGAGCTGTTTTTTGAGGCAGAAAATCTACTGTGTGGTGAAAATCTGTGTGAAAGTCTACTATTTCTCCCGCATAATTTTCACCTAAATGTGGTTAAATTTTGGGAAGTTTTTTTTATTTTGCAAAAATGCCTTTTCATGAATCTGCACTGAATCACGACAAAAATTTAAATGAAAAAACTTCAAATTTTTCTTCGTTACCACTAGGCTATTCGACTTGTTTCCTTAAGCAGTGCTGGAGCGCACCTGACCTTTTGTAAACACCCCCAAAGCCTGCGCGCAGACACGATTGCGGGATGTTTACATAAAAACACGTTTTTAAAAGGCTGCCTTAGTCAAATGCCGAGGTGTCTCATACAAACAATCACTTCGCTTCGTTGCAGCAATTGCACAGAACAGATTCTAGCCGCCTAAGGCATTGTCTTCCAAAAGACGTAACGTGCTGGTTGTGGGTGAGTGTAACTGCCAGGGGTCAACTTTACTACCTGTCATTTCGTGATGCTAGTTGTCATAATGAGTAATTTCGTTTTGGGGGTTCCAGAAAACTTGAAACAGTGCCGAGGATTGGTTTTATCTCCAACAGTTAGTTGCCTAAATAGCGCCAAGATATATTTTATCATTGTTGGATGCGCCTGCTGTAAATTAGTGCTACAACAGCTATCTTTGTAAGCTAGGACATAGAATTTGAACCCTTAATGCGTAGTCCTAACTGTCTTCCATAAATCGTTAGTGTAACCAAAAAGCGTCTGACAGATTAGTGATATTCTTTTAAGTACTACTCCATACGTACTTTTCTTTATGCTATTTCCCCAATATAATTATTGCATGTAATTTCTGTTTTGCCATTTTCGTATTTTCACACTTTCTATTGTTGGAACTTCTCCTTCTTGCCTATTGCTAATAACTGACTACTTTGACAAATCTTCATTCCGGCCCGTTTATTGCTGCATCTCCGAAGCATGCACCACCTATTTGTTCGCCCTCAGTTAATTAGCGACTTGAGGGTTTTTCCTCTGCAGTTATTTTTATCCACGATTTTATCTGTTTTCTTAATTATTGCATCGCTTTAATCCATCGGCATGTCTCTGCCTGCAAATGCCGCTGCACTGCATCCATTTCCGTTGGCCACCCACCTTCGCTGTTGCCTGCAGGCTTCTGTCGAACTGGTCTGAACGCTCAATCAGCTGCTCCCATTTGCGCAAGTTCGACGATTGTTAGCGACTCGGAATTGCACGAAACCACTGAAGCCACTGGTATTTACTTTGTTTTGCTTTTTTTCTGATTGCATGCGTCCTGTGCCAGATCGAGCGACTTTTAATGCCGATAACACATGTATTATTGCTTGATGTCGCGAGGCCCTGCCGTTCGTCAGGCACACAAAACAGTGCCAACCGGGATCCACGTGTGGCATGCGTGGTCACCGACCGCGTATCCACCTCTCTGTGCTAATAACTACGTGAGGCCATCCATTACACTTCGCGCCAAATGAAACCTCAACCAGACTTTCATTTAGGCTAAAAAACCGTAAAATTATAGTCGCAAAGTGCCTCCTCCAATTAAAGACCAACCCAGTTGCATCATTTGCCCTATTAGTGTCTCCCGTATATTATCAGGACTAGTTTCGTACATGCCTAGGTCATCTGTTGACGGAAACGCTTTAAGCCCGTTTCGTATTCACAGAATGTCATTTTCAGTTCGCAGAATTCAAAACATAACTAAATAACGGTAGATCTAATTGGAGTTACCACTGTTTGTGTGCATGAATAGCCCTCTTATTGTGCATTTATTGCTATAGACTTCAGGATATTTTAGTTGCTCAGAAAACTAGGACATATAACTGCAGCGCCATGAGTTGTGGTAAATTCAGGTCTAATGGTAGTGGGTTATTTTTTTGAATCAGGGAAGTCGTTCGCCGATAGCTATGTTAAGAGGTATGAGTGCGAACCAGGGTACTTGAGCGAATGGTTAGGGTAAGCTTTGGAATGCAAGCGCAATGCTTAAGGGATCTCACTAAAACTGTCGTGGTTGCCGTCTTGAAAAAACCTTATTTGTGTTGCCTAACAAGTTTCTTGGTTTAGCTTACCGACTATTGACGGTCTGACCAAACGGCGGCAGTGTTCGGCGCGTTTGGAGTCCCACGCGAACTCCAAAATTGTCTTTCCTATCTTATGTTGCGCTTCATTCAGAATAATTCGTCTGTATTTTGGATGGTTCTGACCGACTTCAGCGTCCACATAGATTTTTTATGTACCTTCATTTTTTGTTGCAAATCGATTTGCTTTGATCGAATAAGTTACAAACTGTTGCTTGTGTTGGGCTCTCACCTGTATTACGCGCTCAAAACAGGTTCTGGTTGCACGTCTAACCTAGTTCACATTTAGCAAAAAATGAACTTTCTGCTGAGTGCACGATTATTTTAGTAAAACTAATCTCTGAGCCAACCGCTAGCAGTTAATCTGGTAGATGAAAGCTAGTTGCGATAAGCCTCACGGACGCCGTTTGGTGCACGTGCGTCAGGGTTGCAGCACGTGATTTTACCTCGTACGTGTTTGAACATGATTATCTGCTGCTATGTTTGTAGCACTGTTGTTTTACTCGTGTTCGGTCGACACGTGTGTTCAGGTCAGAGCCATGATAAGACGTTGGCATGTCATTTATCCTGTGTTAGTGATTCTTCCTGTCTCCCTGCCCTGCTGTCTGCCCCTTTGACAAAAAAGTAATGGCAGCAAAAGTGCCATGACACAGCGTACACAATGTCTGGGATCCTGATTTCTGCTTCTGTGCCATCATGCAATCCCTGCAGTGACCTTGACTCAGCCTCATGATTTGTTTAGTGTGTTGTGCAGCCGGAGCAATTTCATTCGCTTATTTTGTGACATTCGTGCATGGACTTGCTTCTATTTAGCTTCTCAGCTTTCTCCACCTACTCCTGCCGGTGTGCTCACCTCGGAAGCAAGTGAAATGGAGGATTCACACACACATGAGGTGAGTTTTGTCTGTTCATTCTGTTAGCGCCCAGGACCAGTTTTCGTGTCAGTTTATTTTAGTGGGTTTCAGGACTCTACGCGAAATTTGATGATTTGATAACCCCATGTGCTCCTCCATGCATTCCATACCGTTTTCACTGTTCATGTTTGAAGGCCTTTAAGTTGTAGAAGAACCAAACGTAAGGGTGTTGACCCACATTCACGAGAAGTTTATTCATTGCTATCCTAAATTTGTCAGTGTAGCTCTGATAATGCGCCCGTAATGGCAGCGTTTGTCTGGCAGTTTAACACAGATTCATGCCTACCTCATTTTGCCGTCTACACCTGCCTTGTTTGTTGTGGTTCATGGCAACTTTGTGAAAATAACTTGCCATTTTATGGGTTTTAGAAGTTTGAGGTTTTCTGACACAAGTTCTGTTTTGTCGTTTTTAGCCCTCACGCTTTTCTTCACTCTAAATTCAATTTATTCATGGTGCTACTAATTATAGCTAGTAAAAATTATTCTAACAATCATTTTTGGCCCTCCTGTTTTTTCCAACCTCAGCGTGTTTCCGTTAGCCAATATCACCTGGGGATTCTGGATGCGGTCTATCAAAAAAACCTTATTGAATGAAGCCAAATTCCTCTCGATTTTTATCGAACTTCCCAAGTGACGGGTCCACAACAAGCCCATAAGTTACGCATGTAACCTTGTTAGTTCACATTTTCAAAGGTAGCAACAATCGACTAATATCGAACGAAAATGCCCTATTAGTATTACTCGAGCACTCAGTCTGTCACCTTATACTACTAGGTTCTTGCTTCTGAGTTTTGAGCATTCAAACACGCGATTTTAATTGGAAAATTTATCGGTAATGGTATTTTCATCGCTGAGTTTAGATTTACTGAAATGTACGTGGTAGCATGCCGGATCGTTTAAACGCAGAAGTGGAAGTACTGGCCTTGTTATTTCATACTTATTTCCCGTCAATGGGTGCGCATTTGTTTTTTGCATATCGGTCCTTTAATCTTCATGTTCTTGTCAATGCTTTTAGAAAAAGAAAAAGAAGAAACGGCGCTTCAAGCTTCCCTCGTTTTCTCGTAAGACACGAACAAAAGAGAAGAAGCCTCAGCAGGAACAGCAGCCCACCGACGAAGTTGATGTGGCTGGTTGCGATGGCGGTGAGCTCAGCCAAAAGTGATTTCGGGACACCGCAGCTCCCCCCTCCCCCTCTTACTGTACTCTTTCGAATTAAACTCACTTCTTGCTACGCATTTGCTCTTCTTTAGGAATTATTGAAATCTGTCCAGCCACCTCTGCTTGCGCTCTCTCGAAAAGGCTTTTGTTGCTTTTTTCTCATGCGAATCATGTCGAATTTTACCATACGCCCAAACTCGAGCCTCACTAGTCTTGCTATTTCGCCTGTCGGCCATATGGGTCACTTCTTCGTACTTCAATTGATTGGTTTTCGTTTTTTGGTTTGGTCCCATTCTTCCTGCTCCTCCGCATACACCACTTATGTGTAAATATAGATTAATTTTCTGAAGATTATAATTTAACATTTCAATCCCACCACCGTCCTAACTTATTCCGTTCAGTTGTGTTGTACGTCTGTGTTCCGCTTTCTTGTTTAAATTGGGCTTGCTCTTGCTTCCCTTTCACCGCTTCTTCACGTGACAATGGCCGTCGTTTCGATTACAAATAAATTTGCACTTCTTCCCGTTGCAATTTGCGTTTTTCTAAGGCCAATTTCTTCATCCAGATGAATGTCAAGGTCTACACATTGATTGCCATGTCATGTAGGTTCTATGAAAGAATTAAGATTCTATACTTACGGTTGGATTAACCATTCTGAAGACCTTAGTAATTTTCGCTTGCGGAAATCCAGTTATCTCGGAGCGACTCAAATTGCGGTGGCTGCCACAGAGTAGTATCTTTTAACCTTCGGGTCTAGCTCGACTAAAATCAGCTGCATAGGCGCAATTATCTTGCCTTGCCTAAATTACTAACTTATGTACCTTCCCACGTCAAGGCGTCTAGCCGTTCAAGACCTCAATAATACGCCTTTAGGTTGGTGCGCGATTAGGAAGTCGGCATACCACTGGTAAAGTAAATGGTACTGCCGGATTACACTGGCTTTTCGTTCACACGTATACATAACCAGGTTTAACATAAAAGACTACTGACGTCCACAACCATAAATTATGAGTCAACGCAATACATCATTTCGAACAAGACCTGTGTATTTAGGCTATGTTGAAAGAAGGAGGCAATATCAAAATGAGTCCCCAAAACCACAAAAGAAAGTAGTTAAATATCGGTGTTTTCATCAAAAAGAAAACGATTGTTTGCAATATGTACAGCATAATTTTCTGCATAAAACTTTACGATTCTTCATCGTTCTCAAACCTAATCCTCACTTTCCTGTTATCCGATGACGAAGTTCCTGCCTCAACTGTAACAAGCGCTGGCTCCTCCTCATCCACTTGCATAGCGTCGGCAAAGTCTTCAATCTCCTCTTCCTCCTCTAGGTCTGATCCTGACGTGTAGACAATTTCTTCCTCCTCCTCTTCTTCTTCTTCTTCCACATCTTCGTCTTCTGGCACATCTAACTCTTCGGTTTCTAGTGCCTTTTCAAATGCCGATTGATCTATATTGTAAATCTCCTTCGAAGACGTTGCAACTCTAATACGTTCTAAGAGCTCCTTTTCCACGGTTCGCGAAAGTTTGGCAACGCGGAGTGCTTTCTCTTCACGCCTTAGCTCGCGTCGCTCCACTTTCCTGTTTATTGTCTCTATTTTCTTTTGTCGCGAGAGAGCTAGTCGACGCATCCTTTTAAGGTAATCGCGAGTACGAAGGAAACGTAGTTTTACACGCGTTCGGATCCACCGATCCCAATAGCGAAGATGCTCGTTTATTTGTTCAATGGCTTGCTCCTCGTTTTTCTTTAGTTTTATGCGTTCCCATTGTTTGATAGGGTAAGGCACGCGTTCGGGAGCCTTTACGTAGAGGTAGATTATACCATCCCGTTCTTTGATGGTGGCGTACTGAGAATTTGACAGAGGACATGAGTGACGATTACAGAGGCCGGTTACATTATCTTCGTTGCGACAAAATTTGCCAGTTTTAGTTTTTACCATAAAAGAGCAGAAGGACTTGCTGATTAACTGCCAAATGAGATCATCGGAATTCATTGCGTAAACAGCGTCTACAAAATTTCAATTCAGAAGTAAATAATGGAAAAGGCACATAACAGTTACAGGTGGACTTGAGACGTTTGGTTTAGTTGCTCACACTACTACCAAACTTTTCAACACTAATAACAAAAATACAGACAAAACGCACTAGAAAATCTAAGGCATTTTTCCTGAAAAAAAAAAAACCAACTCTACTTGATAGAACATAACAAATTGTAATTAATCAGCCTTTAAACATGACAACTGAACTACT